CTTGACGCAAGTTATGTAAAATTACAATTTGCAATCGTAAAAATACATGATGTATCGACTTCAAATCCCTTGGCGAGTAAAAAATGTGCTGTCGTAAATTTACAACTTAAATTACAATTCGAGTTTACAAATTTTTCGTAAATTTATGATGATATTTTTCACAGTGCCTCTCTCTCTGCCCGCTCATTCCATAACTTTATTTTTATACCCCTTTCCTGCCTGGTCCCAGCAGTAGCAAGCAGGTTGGCGTGGCCCTCCTCGCTCAGAGAGACTGTAAGCAGGGTGGTGCTCTGCTCGGCCGTGACCAGGATAGAGAGAGGGGGAGAGAGAGGGGGAGAGAGAGGGGGATGGGGAGGGGAAGGGCACAAATGGCCACCACCACCTCGTATAACCCCCGTGAGATCAGGCAAACGAAAAGAGGAAAAAAAAAGTCGGCAACGAAAAATGATATATATGGCGGTTTATACGAGTTGCTACGTACATCGCGTTTATTTACGTGCAAACTCCCTTTCCCCGTTCTAAAAATTTGATTGCAGCGTCTGTCTGTTATCATTTTCTAAATTATTACCACCAAATCACCTGCAAGGCCTGTCCCCACTTTGACAGCAACCAAGTCCGCGAGCTTTACACTTACATTTTTTTAGCAGTCAGCGACAGCGTAGAATGGATCGTTCCCTGGAGAGTCAGCCCGTATCTCGCCTCCATGCCTCAGTCCCGGAATCAGATTTTCAAACGGAACTCTATCGGTTCAATACCAAACGGATCGACCATTTAACAGGTTTTTTAAAGCTTTTTAGCTTTATATTTCATTTTATCTTGTAACCCTTACAATTCAACAACCAATTGTACAATTTTTTTCCTGTTAAATAAAGTGTTAAAAAGAAAAGTCGGTACCGCACCCGCTCGGAGCGCCGGAGGTTGGCGGTTCGAATCTCCGACGATTTGAAATTTTTCTCAGACCACCAAATTTCAAATGGACTTTAAACCCGTCATTTCACCTCACCCCTCTCGTGGAGTTCCGACGGCGTAGTGGTTGCCATTGTTGGTGGCACTGTGTCGTAGGTGTCAGAAAGTGTCGGCTCTGGGTCTGGGCCGGAGTTCGCGCCCTGGTGCCTGCCACCTTGCTGTGGGAGCGGGTGGATAGACCTAGAATATACCTAGAAACTGGCTGAAAAGGGCTCCATGACCTGGTGGGTCAGTACAGTTTAACCAACGTACGCCTCAACCGTCTCACAAACCCCGGGAGTATGTTCTGACCACTGTGGAAGGAAGCGGCTGTTCGGAACAGTGACCACAGTTCGCTTACGACTGTGGTGGGATGAGGAACGTACTCCCCCATTTTTAATTTTTTATTTTTGAATCCTGTTCCTCTTTGAAGTACATTCTTCCTAAATTTCATCATACAGACGAGGTCGGAGAAAAATTGGTCGGACCAAACCGACGTCGGACAGCACTTTTGTGAATTTTGGGAAAATTACCAGGTCGGAGAAAAGTAGGTCGGACAGTCTAAATACACCCCAGTGTTGTGTACTGCCTTCTTGGGGGGAAATCCATGGGTTCAAACTCACACAAACCATTTGACCGTAATTTTTTTTTCTTTGCCGCGGAGGTCAACGGGAGGTTGGCTATTGCTCCCCCCCCCCCTTAATCTTCTCCCCAAATCAGTGGCAATAAACGCAGTACAACGTTCTCTTTCCTCTTCAAGCTTGTCAACCGGCCACGGGGAGAATATATAAGCCGCCCAGCGCGGCATTCCCTCTCTCATCCCTGTGTGTGTGTGCGTGTGTGTGTGTGTGTGTGTGTGTGTGTGTGTGTGTGTGTGTGTGTGTCAGCCAAAGCCAAGTAGGGGGTGTAACCACCACACCGCCGGGGTGAGGACACGTGTGTGGGCGCGGCCGGAGAGCACAAAGGCCGCCCCGCCCCGCCCGGAGGACGCTCATCATCCACTACACAATGACGCCGCACCGCCGGCCCCGCAACGCTCCTCCAACCCTTTTATTTGATTTTCATTACAATGTTTCCCTTTATGATCGCCTTCTGGTGGTGGTTGGGGTCCGGGGGGGAGGGGGCTTATTAGTGCCATATATACTTGACGGAGACGCTCAGTCAGCTCAGACGCGCGTATCATATTTTATTTTATTTTTCATATCCAGCGGGTTGGAAGCCCTGGAATGTTTCCGGAGAAGTTCAGGAAAATTTCGTGGAAAAACGGAAAATTCACGGTGGAAAATTGAAAATTTCTCAGACTTTTGAAGTTTTCCGTTATTTTTCAGAAATTTTTAAAATTTTCAATCCTAGTATCACATTTCATTTTCTTATTCATATCAAACACACTTCTTAGGTATTTAGATTTGGAGTGTCGATTCGTAGTTCATTCCATTATAGGTTTGTATGAGGAAGCGGATAGAAGATGCAGCCTTAATAATTAAGAATAAGGGTTAAATGAAGGCCTCTATTTCCTTCCAAAATTTCAGTCGTTTCCACTGGCACGAATGACACGTCAGCAGCTCTAACACATCATTGTGAGTTGACGTCATTTTAGGCTAGTCGCAAAGATTACTATACACCGATAACTTTCGTCTTGGCTTCTCACTTTTTTGATCTCATTTTGACGAATCTCTTCTACCGTCGTGGACTTCCGCGCGCGGGAAAGCAACACCTATACCCGCGAGCGCCACCTTAAATGAGGGCCTCCATTGCATTGGCCTTATTATTGTCCTCCGTAGAGCAGTAGTAGAGCTCATAGTGGGGCGAGGAAGGAGGGGTGCACTTACCGACACTCACATGGTGCCCAGCGAGGAGGGAGGGGGGAGGGAGGAGGAGAGAGGGGG